ATTTATGCTTATATTAGACTAATCTATGCTTAACATGTTATTCAACTATTATATTAAGATAAATGTATGTTTTCTTAAAATATATCCAAAACAAGAGCCTAAACTTTATATATTACTTATTGCTTTAAAGAAAGCAAGGTATTATTCTTTGGGGGATCAATAAAAAAATTTCCTAAAATGAATATTTATTTATTATCATGATGTTAGGTAAAAATTAAGACCATCCTCCATCTTAAGTTTCTGTTAATGACAAGATTTAGCATCATCACACACCATCCTTTGATCCCAAGGTCCAACGTTTGCTGGCAGAATTATCCAGAAGGAATTGAAAAGGTGGGCCATTCTCAGGCCCATCTGCATCCATCGGGGAGAGAACAGCAAAGTCCTGAGCGTGCTGGCAAATGGTCACGTCCTTGTCCACCTGTGGTGGGTGGTCATTGTTATCTTCCAGAAGAACCACTAAAGTTCCAGTGCAAGACCTGCCACCTGAGGAGATTGAAAACAAGGCATGTCTCCACTTAAAAACGGGTTCCCGCCATCTCTGTGACACACACGTGGCTGCTTTCTGCTAACTGTCTCAACTTGGGGAATGGCAGCCACATCCCCCTCTCATTTCTCACTGGCTTGTCACTGACTCACAAATTGCGAGCATCGTTCATCCTCAGAGCTCAGTCCCATTCCCCGTGACAGCCTGGCGAAATGCCTAGTGTGCCTTGGCTGACGTGTAACTTACTACGAACACACCGCACAGAATGCACTTAAAATGTTTATACTTCTTCTTGAGCACACCCGGGTTAACCATGAGGCTGGGACATGGAATTCTACATCTTAGATTTGGCATGTCATTTTTTGTGTTAGCACTGTAGACAAAATTAATGTCTTACATCTCTGTTCTCCATGTTTTCCAACTCTCCAAAGAGTGCCTCATTCACCAAGCTTCTGTATCTGTGTGAAATCTCCTACCTTTATCTTTTAATCTGGGCAGCTCTTAACTGATTTACACTTCTTATGATATTCATACTTTCTTTTATACCATGGAACCCGCTATGAGAATATAATCATCTTTTAATTGATATCATGTGAATTTTTTTAAAAAACTTCACCCAAGGACATGCTTAGAGGGGCGGGGGGAAGAGGGAGGGAGAGAGAGAAACATTGATGTGAGGAGAAGAGAAAGACACATCCACCAGGTGCCTCTGTATGCCCCCACCCCAGGGATCAAACCCAAAACCTAGCTATGTGCCTGACCGGGAATCACAGAGTCAGCCATGCTGTGCACAGGACAGCACTCAACA